GGCACACACCTTTAATAATCCCTGTACTTGGGAGGCAGAGGCAGGCGAATCTCTGTGAGTTCAAGGCCAGCCTGGTCCACAAGAGCTAGTTCCAGGACAGGCTGAGAAGCTACAGAGAAACCCTGTCTTGAAAAGCCAAAAAACAAACAAACAAAAGCCCAACTGGAAACCCCTGGCAGAGCCAAGGTGCCTCTGCAGAAGCAGTCACCCAGAAATCTGCAGAAAGCCCTAGGAGCTCCCTAGAGGTCTGGGGACCTAGAGTTGAGACTAAGGCTATCAGCTCTCTCACTCCCCCTGCCTGGTTGATTGTTGATTGGTTTTACTTTTTGAAAGACTTCATAGTGCGTGTGTGTGTGTGTGTGTGTGTGTGTGTGTGTGTATGGAGTAGTAGTAGTAGTAGCACATCTTGTGAAACTGGAGTTATGGGTGATTGTAAGCCACCTGACATAGGTACTTGGAACTGACTGAACTGGGGTCCTTTGGAAAACAGCAAGTACTCTCAGGTTCTGAGCAATGTTTCCAAGTGCCACCCCTGCCCCCCCAACCCCTATAGGTTTTATTCTCCTGGCCTTCAGTTTCCTTTGGAAGGGCAGTAGCATGGCCGAATGCTGAGTACGGAAAGAGCTCCCAGAGCCAACCTGCCAAGCACTGTGCTGACAGAATATGGCTTCTCAAGGGCTCGCAGAAAGAACCTGGCCCTGAAAAGCACTATGCCGAAAATAGGGGCCCCCAAAGCTCCACTCCCTTCTCAGTAGTGACATCAGCCTGTTGACCCAGCACAGGACGTTTGAGTGCAATGTACTTGAGTCCTAACATAGGATGTTTACCTGTGGCATTCCATGAAACCCATTCTCATTTTTTTCCTGCCAGGGATGGGTATGCCATGCAGCCCAAGATACAATTTTAGATGGAAAATACTCCCATACCTTTAAGGTGCAGGAAAGTCAGAAACTCCATTATGGTGCGCACAATGTTGCTCTCAGGCAGGGGCCCATCAATGCTGCCTAGACAATGGAGAAGAACAGTGTTCATGGCCTTTTTTTCTTACCACCCTTGTATCACCCATCTGAGGCCAAGGAGGCTGGCTGAAAGCCGGGGGGCATCCCAGGCCATCCAGGGCCTCTCTTGAGAAGTGCAGGGGCCGTGGACCAGCTCTTCCAGAGGCCTCCGTGGTCAGCTCCCTTGTTGGAGCTGCATGCCCCATGACTTTGCTCCCCAGTCTTGGCAGTTGAGAGGTGTGTGAGGCCGCAGGCTCCCAGGTTCTACCCGGCCAGGACCAGCCTCAGGCTGTAACTGGAGGCAGGATAGTGGTAGGTGTAACCGCCGTACCCCACGTGCACATGGGAATCCCAGGAATGACGGGGTGCACATGCAGGGACTCGGGCCTTACCTGGTCTCCCTTCCTCCACTTCCAGTTGTAGCTCCCGCTTGCCTGTGAGGCCATGCTTGTCGCTAAATGATCTGTGGTTGTCAATGGCATCTGTTCACAGACCAGAGAGGGAGAGCCTGCTGTCACTGTGGCTTATCAGCCAGGGGAAGACCACACATGGCTGGCCCAGCAGCATAAAGCCAGTGTGTTGGGGGGCCCAGAAGAGGGAAGCAATGTCTCCAGGGTCCCTGGGTGAGAGTGGTGATCACAGGGAACTGTGCTGATGGCAAGGAGGGTGGGCACAGAGCAGGTGTCTGCAGACAAACAGGTGCCAGGTGCACCTGGGAACCCCAGAGTTGCTGGTTGGTCCCAGAGACAGGAGCTGGCTCCTAGGACAATACCTCCCAGACCGATAACAGAATCTGGGTCTCTTCATCCCTGGAAACTAGAGACTGGAGATGTCTAAAACATGCCCGGATTGTTATTTTCAAAGCCACTCGGTGGGAGTGGGGTGCAGAGAACTGTGGGTGCGGCAGAGCTCCCTAAGAGACAAGGTTGTAGTACAGGAAAGAAATGGCAGCTAATGAGTATTGAGAGATGGCACCCAGAGGCTGGAGGGGGCGACTTAGGAGACAAAATAGGTGACATGGATGAGACTCGGGGCTTCTGGCCACTTAGCCCACCTGCCAAACTAGACAAAAAGACCAGAGAGTTCTTTTCAACAGAGTCAGAGTTCAGGGCTAAGTTCATGGAGTAACTAAATTACCTCGTCTCGGAGCTCCTCCCTGAAGCATTAGCATCCCAGCAGCTCTGGCCTTCAAAATCTGCCACACCTCAGTGGCATCGAAAGTACCTGACACCTGGCTAGTACACAGCATGGATGGCTGCATGAACTTAGCAGTGAGAAAAGTTTTCTATTCTGACTCAAAGTCTTCCTGATAACATTTTTAATATTCTAAAGCCATGGGTCAGTGCCAAGTTCATACCTGTGAGGACCCTGGGAACCAGTCTGTAGGCCACTCCACAGATTGTTGGAGAGCTTCTCAACAATCAGGTGACTACGTGGATCCTGCACAGGGCCCCAGGTAGGTTTGGTCAACCCTATGCCTTGTTTCTCAAAGGATGACCACACACATCTGCAGTATGAACATGTGGCCTCATGCAAACTCGGGCTGGGAAGCACCAGCCCTGCTCCACTGTCCCTTTCACTCTGGTGGACTGGGGATTGGAGTGGATGGGTGGATATTTTGTCTCTTCCCGTGTGTCAGGGGATAGTGAATGGGTACTCAAGATGGACAGGCATCTCCAAGACAGCTGTGCATGTAAATTTGAAAGCCACAACCGCCAAACAACTAACCAGGCAGCTCTCTGAAGGGAACCAGTATCTTCCAACCCAGTCCCCTCCCTTGTCCCCTGGTGATTCCACAGTCCCAAGCAAAATCCCTGTCTCTAGTGGTTACAGGTAACAACACTCACACCACACAGAAATATCAAACTCAGGCCAAGCTTCAACCTCCATCCACCACAGGGTGACAGCATTGGGATGTGATTAATGGATCATTGACACACTTGGGTGATCTGCCCCACCCCACTCCACACAAAGTCCTCCGACTCTAACCCTCTCCAGCCGTGAATGCAGAGAAAGTACTAGTGACACAGAGTGGGACCTGTGCCGGAAGGGACAAGGCTAGTGTTAGTGTAAGCTGCGGGGGTGACAGTGGGGCTGGGACTGGGGAACAGATTTGAGCAAGAAAGAAGCCAGCTCAGGTGGGCCTCCAGGTGGCTCGCTGGCTACTTCAGTTTGTCAGAGTTCCCTTACTGGAGCATAGAGGGCAGCTTCCTTCCGGATGCCGGAAAGTGGAGAGGGTATTAGTGAGACCCAGGGGTCCAGAGAAGGGGTCCAATCAGAACTCCAAGGAGACCTGGAAGACTCACCCAGAAAATTTGAATAAAGCCCCTCGGAGGAGCAAGTCAGTAGAAGAAACTTTTAAAGGAACAGGGGCTGAGGTTAAGTGTGCAGAGCAGTGACAGGTGGTCCCTGGCTGCTCAGGAGGTGTCGGGTGCTGAGTGGGGGCAGTGCAGCTTTCAGAAGTGGAAGGGAAAGGAGGTTCAGACCAGAGCAGGCTCGGAGGCTCTGCCCAGATGAGGCAAAGAGGCTAGGCATTTGGGTTCCCAGGAGGCTGGTGTGGATGACATCAGGAGACCCCAGGAATGAGCTCATCTGCTATGAGTAAGAAGAGTGGAGGCCTGGAGGGGTAAAGCCTTTCAGGGAATGGGAGAGCCCCCCCTTTCCACCACAGCAGGTGTTTTAAGTCGCAGCGGGTTAGGCTAATGGAAACCCACAGTTCCCACAGCCACATGGGAATTCATCTGAGAGTAAACTGGCTATGAGAACAGTGCCTGGCTCCCGGAGCCACACCAGGAGCCATGCAGCCTCAGCAACCCAGCCCAACCACTCACGTGGGCCCAGAAGGTAGCCAGCGCTGTTCAGTGTCCAGCCTCTCTTCTCCTTTGCCTAAAACAGGATGACACAGGTCAGACAGCCTAGGTCCCAGAGCTCAGGAGCAGCATAATCTGTGCATTGTTCTTCAGCCCAGACCAGCACAACACAGAAGCCTGGGCATCCAGGCTGCCAGGGTGACCTTTGGCCTGAGCACACCACTGCATGCACTAATTCCAGGTCCCTTGATGTTCAACCAGAGTAAGGCTCAGCTGAGAAGCCAGGCGACACTTAGTCCTGAGCAGTCTTAGGGCTGAGGGCTGTGCCTCCAGCACTCCCAATCTCCAGGGGAGGTTAGTCTATTTACCGCAGGCTTTGTCCAACAAGTGGGAGACTTTTCCTCGCTGTTTTGTTAAGACAGCACCACTTGTAGCCCAAGTTGGCCTAAAATTCACTAAGTAGGGGAGGCTGTCCTTGAACTTTTGATCTTCCTAAATGCTGGGATTACAAGCCTAGGTCTCTACACCTGGCTAAGAATAGAACCATTTTGAGCCTGTTAGTGTCCAGCTGGTCCTCAGTCCTACTCCTGGGACCCTCCCCACCCTCCAGCAGCTGCAGGGACTCGTCACCCCCCCACTCCCACTCCTGTTGTGGGAGAGAATGAACCATCATTTGCTCCAGGCTGATCCTCTCTGACCCCCTTAGTCCTCAGCACTTACCGGCATCCCAAGCGCCAGAGTTGCTGACAGGGTCGCCAACAGGAGCCAACCTAGCAGGAGGGCGCTGCCTCTGGCCATCTGGAAGAGAAGTGGAGGAGTTGACACCATCTGAGCAGCCCAGCACACGCACATGTCTGGGGGCCACTCGGACTGCGGACAGGAATGCCTTCGGGGTGGGAGAGGCAGGGTGACAACAGGGACAGAGCGGTGAGAAGGGCAAGGACTGGGCGGCCAGTTACCCGAGGTTCGGGTCTGATGCACGCACCTCAGTGGGCGCAGGTACCTTGAGCAGCAGTGGGAACCGGGTGTGGCTGGTCGACGCAGGTCGGGCGTGTCTCGGTCCGGGAGTGGCGTGGCAGACGGGCGAGTCGCTCACCGCATGGCGCAGCGGCGTGAGAAAGCGCGAAGATCCCTCGACGACGTGTCCGCATCAGGAGCAGCGCTGCCGCCGCTATTTATGCCCCGCGGGAGCTGCCGCGTCACTGGCTCAGCGCCGCCTCCTGCGAGTCCCAAGGGCCGCAGTGACAGGAACCCGCTCCTAGGGAGCAAGAGAGGACCACCCCCAGTCCCAGACCATCAGCCGGGCGATCTCTGAATCACAGAGCCCCTCCCCAGTGTTCCACCCCGGTGCTCAAACAAGAGTGACTCTTACACCCCATTTTGAGGCCGGTGAAGAGCCTTACACTCTTTCCCAGGGCTAGGGCTGGAAGGTCCACCCCACAGCCCAAGCGTGACCCGCCACAGTCGGGGCACCTCCTAAGAAACCAAGTCCCCAGGTCCTGCTCCCCACCGGAATGTGACTTCAGCTTCCCCAACCTGTGCCCAGCGACCTCCACTCCTGTTTCACTGGGGCAGGGGCCAGTCATTCAGGGGTGAGGGCAGAGTGGAGGGTGACTGACCACTACACACCCTCCCTCCTGCACCCCAGCATGCTCCTTGGAGCCCACTATTCTGAGCACCCCGTTGAGTGGGCTCTGTTGTAGCTGCGGTTGAGTTCTGCAGAGCCCAGAGTGGAGGGAGCTCCAGGTCAGATTCCTGCTAAGAAGCAGGCAGGGGGCCAGAGCTGCCCTCACCCCAGGGGTTTATCCACCTGTGCAGGCAAGCACACAGGCATGGCCACACACCCTGCAATCACACCTCAGACAGACACAGGGGTAGCAACTCCAGACTCCCAAAATGTGAGATATTTCAAGCAGGTGCAGCCCTATGATGAACGGCACAGCCCTTACGGTCACCTGGCTCAGAAATGGACTCCCCCCCCCCCCCCTCGCATTGTCAGCCAGGTCCCAAGAAGCCTGTAAGCTCAAGAAAGGAGGGTTCTGCTTAACACGAATCCTTTGCTGGAGCAACCAGCAAAGTGTTCACATGAAATAGGTTCACTAGGAATAGCCTGGGGGTGAGGCCTCAGTCCTGAATCCCCTCTCCCTACAATCCCACCTGAGACCCTGGCTGAGCAGAATATGGGGCAAATGGTGTTTGCCAATTCCACATTTCATGTGTCTCCACACTAAGGAGGCTGTGCAGACTCGGGACACCTGTGGAGGGATCGGCTGACCCACATGGACAGGAAGGCCATTAAGTGCAGGAACAGCCTGAATCGGCATGCCTGGGCATGTGTGGCAAGGCACACATGTGGAAGTCAAGGGACAACTTTATACAAATTTGTTCTATCATGTTTACATGTTCTGGATCTCCAGGCTTGTAATGAGAGCGTTTGCCCACTAAGACATCTGGCTGGCTCTCCTTTTAACAAAATGATCCTTTTGTTTTCAGTCACCCTTTGTTTTACAAATGTTCAAAACCAGTAGGCAGACATTACCCTCTGCCCACATCTCCCAAGGTCTCCAGGGAAATCCAACCTCAGGCACACTAGGGTCTGAACACCAGCGAAGGGAGAGGGGTGTGCCTCTCACATTGGCCTCTGAAGGCAGAGTCCCAGTGTGTCTCCCTTGATCAGAAGCTGCTTTGGTAGAGGAGAAGCAGAGTGAGCAAGTGTCTGCCCCAGAACCAATGAGACACAGTGACATCAGCCTGCAGCTCAGCTACCCAGACTAAGGCAGAATGGTGTCTTGAGCCTACAAGCTCAAGGCCAGCCTGAGCAATGCAGTCAGATCCCAACTCAAAAAGTTAAAGAGAGAGAGAGAGAGAGAGAGAGAGAGAGAGAGAGAGAGAAGCCAAGACCACCCACTGGCCATCTCTCCTGTGTGCCTCACAGGGAAACCAGACACCGCCTTAGCAAACACTTGAGTGTCGTGAGTTCATTTCAGGAGGTTTGCAGCAAGGGTGGGGTGGTGTGCACCTGTAACTCAGCATTGGAGTCATAAGGTCATTCTCCACTATACTGGGAGCTTGAGGCCAGCTTGAAATAAATGAGGCCCTGTATTTAAAAAAAAAGAAAAAAAGAAAAAGGAAAAAAAGAAGAAAGGAAGGAAGCTATGTGGAAGACTTGGGCCAGGCTCAAGGCTCACCCTTCGATGCCACTCCCTCCAGGGTGTTTCCACCATTGGGGTGGCCCCCGCTGTCACTGCTCCCCATTTTGGTTGGGTAATGGGTTTCTGTCCAGCTCTTAGACTGTGGCTGGAACCTGCCGGGGAAACACTGGGAGGTGGGAACAGAACAGGGCTGTGGCTTCCCACATCCCTGACAGTCTTGCTCCTACAAATGAGGGCAGGGTGTAGGATAACAGGTCCCCGCTTCCTGGTACATGCTGTGCTGGAACCCACGGCCCCAGTCTAATGGGCTCCTCACGCAGCAATGACCCAATGGAGTCATTGTCAACTCGTCATCTTCAAGGCGGCCCAGCTTGTGGCTAGCAAAATGGGTCACCATTAGAGTAATGGGCACGAAACACAAAGCGTCATTTTCCCACCTGCAAGTCCAGACTTTCTCAGAAGCTGCCGCTGCCACCAAGAAAAAACCCCCAAACCTGAACACCAGAAAGAGGTGGGGGCTCAAGGGCAGTGCCCCACATGGGACTGTGTCAGTAGTGCCCTGCACTGCAGCTGTGGCTCTGAAATCAGAGGGGCCTGCCCCCAGGAGGGTTCCAATCTGGTGCAGACCTAAACATACAACCGCTCTCCAAATAACAACTCAGTCATCATGAGACGTGAATTCAGCTAGACCTAGCTGACGGGCGGGTCTGTCCAGCCAGAGAGGCAGGCACCGCACATCCAAGTGGAGGACTGCAGTGGGCACACCTCTTCCCAGTCTTCCTCTTCCTCCTGCCTGGAATGTGAACCTGTGGGCTGGTGGAAAGCAACCATTTGGGAGCCCAAGGTGATGCCAGACTGAAGGAGCTGTGGTTGCGGGTACCTGAAACAAGGTTCTGTTGCTGTCCACCTCTAGACAAAGCCCACTTTTTATTTCGAGCCCATGCTATCTGGAGTTTTACAGTGGATGCATTTGGAGCTCCTGTGATCAACATCTCTCACAAACACTCCCCAGAAGTCTGACGGATAAATGAACACACACACAAATGAAGAGCAAGCTGTCGTGGGTTCTGGCCATGCTGAGAGGTGGACTCAGGAAAGGAGAGGCTGGGAGGTGCCCCCAGACCGATAAGCACCCCCACACCCCACTGTGATCTCACTATGATTAGAAAAGCAACCAAGGGAATGGCTGAGTGATCTAAACTGACCGACTTACACCCTGAAGATGTCCCTGCCCTTGACTCTCTCTTCCCACGGTTTCTACGGTTCAGGAGTAGACCACAGCCTTAGAATCTCCCAGTGAGGGACTGGGGGTGTGGCTCAGTGGTAGAGTGTCTATCAGGCATCCACAAGCCACATAAATAAAACGTGAAAACAAAACAAAACAAAAATATCATCTTGGGAAAGATTTAACTAAAGTGACATGTCAGCAGACAGGAGTGTGTCATCCTGTGAGTGAGTCTCTGTATTCAGTTGCCGGAGTAACGCTATTACATAGCTTCAAACTATACATGAGAGTTTGCTAACGTCCTCTCCTCAGGCTTATGTTGAAGGCCTGAGGTCTGGCATGCAATCTGAGAAGGGGGAAAGCTTGGGACTATCTGAGAATATTTTGTTTATGTTTTTGTTTTTTAATAATTCATACTGTGGTACTGAGGATTTTTTGTTGAAGAGTTCTATTATTCTAAAGTTTTTGCATTTTTATTTATATTTTTATGTGTATAGGGTTTTTGCCTGAGTGTATGTGGCAAATACATGCAGTGCCTACAGAGGCCAGAAGGTGGAGTCACAGGTGAGTGTGAGCAGCCACAGGGATGCTGGGAATCAAACCTGGGTCCTCTGGAAGTATAGCCCGTGTTCTTAACAGCTGAGCATCTCTTTAGCCTCCAACCGTTTTTCTACCTAAATTCTGGAGTTTTAATTATTTAATTTAATTCATTATTAATGGGGTGCATGTGTGTGCGCGCATGTGTGTGAGTGCATACATGTGTGTGCTAATGTGTACAGGTGTGTACAGGTGAGTGTGCATGCGGAGGTCTGTGGTGCTCCCCAGGAGCTGTCCACCTTTGTTTTATTTTGTTTTGTCTTGAGACTTGGTCTCACTTGCAAATTCGACTCTGCTGACCAGACCCTGATCCCCAAGGTCACCTGGCTGCCCCCCAGTGGTGGGGTTACAAGTGTGCACCATTTGTGCCCAGGAATTTACACAGCTGTTGGGGATGGAATGCTGGCCGCGCAAGGCAGCTGCTTCACTGACTGCATCCTCTCCCCAGCCCCTATTAGTATACATTAATTATGCATACTAATGAGCTTCATTATGACATGTTCATACACGCATATAATGTAGTTGATTATATTTTCCTCCCATTAGAGAATTCTGTCTTTAAAAAGCTTCTGGAAGATGGCGTGCCCACTTTTAAATTTTAAACACCTAGGGCACCCAGCCATGGCAGGGGCGAGCGGTGATGTCCTTTGTGTGGCCTGTGAGGTTCTGGATAGGCATTATGAGGTTGAAAGGAGAGGGCACGGGACATGGGAGGGCCTGGTGAGCCCTGTGTCAGCTTCAGGTGGGACTTCAAGGGCAACACCACTTTCTTGTGAAAACCCACCCGGCACAGTTGCCTCACACAGTGAGGGTTCACTTGCCTCCCTGCCAGCAGGGAGCCCTGAGAGCTGAGCTGCCCTCCCTGGGAACTGCAGAGATGGCCAGATGCAGGCCTCCTCCTGGCAGTCTGGGATTCCACCTGCATCCTGAGGTGACTCACCCAGCTCAGCCTGGAGGAAAGAGCTGCCGATAACCAGGCCACTGCCCACGGTGGGGGTTGAGGGACCAGGTGACTCATCACTAGCCCTGGTCCACTGTATCTGTTTCCTGGCCCTGCGTCAGACAGGCCCACAGCACTGTCAGACCAGATGGGCTCATCTGACTTTTGGGATGTGAGGTCTCTGGAGGGCCGACAGGCTGTGGGGGACGGCTCACCTCTGCCTGAGCTCTGTGGAAGACTCTTCTGCGGTCTTGCTTTGGTCTCCTTCTAAGGGACCCAGCACACTTCAAAGAACTTCAAAGACCCGTATCACCAGCCCTCATTCAGAGTGTGGCCTCCATTTC